AGATTGTACATGAAGACACATATACTAAGTACTCCATAATAACTTAAACCAACAATGAAAATTATGTTACAGCTCATTGATTAAACTCATGCTTGATCACAACAAACAAATTCAAGTATATTATATATTATACTGGAAAAATAATTTTCAGCCCATTTTTTTGATTTTTCAAATTCACTTTTTTTATTATTTTTATTTTAAAATATAAATGCACAAAGCACAACAAAAAATGTCAAATACACAAAAAAAAAAAAATATGCATGAGTTTTCTACCTAAAAAACAAATAAAAAAATATGATGCATGCATAAATTAATGTCACATAATGATAAAACACGAGTATGCATCAAAACACCTAATCATTTAGGTATGCAAAAACTCTTACCTTTAAGAGCACTGTGATCTATTTTAAAAATTTTCAGATCACTTTTCTTCACCCAAACTTGCTTATGACATGAATATTTCCAGTCATCTGTGTCATTAACTTAATCAATGGAGTCACTTGATTAGTAAGAAAGTCAATTTGACCAACAAATTCCTAATTCTTATTTCTATTTAGGTTCGATTTCTATTTTTGTTCAGGAAATGACGACATGTAGACCTCACGTGTCCTAATTTACCACAGTGAAAACATGTAGGGATAAACCTAGGATCAAAGGTATGTGATCATTGACGTCTATTACTAGGTTGGTGGGTCATACGCTGTCTAGTAGGCTTTTGTCCTGCATATCCCTTATTATTAGGTTCAGAGTTAGGCACATATTTAAGTTGATCAGTACTAGGGACAAATGTGGTCTTGAACGTACTAGTAACATTATGATCATTCTTATTATATTTTATACTTACCTTTTTACCAACAGGCATACCCATTCCTGGAATATGTGGTGTTTCGATTCAGTGGATTTGATGTTTTTCCCGAATATGTGGTTGTATAAAATCAAGAATGAAATGATGAAATCAATGCATGAATAAGCTTTTGAATATGTTATAGAGAAGAGACACAATGAACAACAACCCTTATTTTCGTGCATAGGTTTGAGTATTTATATGAGAGGGTAATTAGGTTGAACGGACCGAAAAAAATACTTCAAAACAGCAAATTAGGGTTTTCCAGATTGACTTCTTGTTCGAGCGAGGGCTCAGCGATAGGCGAGCGACGCATTATCGATCGGGCTAGAGCTCGGCGATAGGTGGGCGACATACTTACTGTTTTTATTGCTCGAGACCCAACTGGGCAAGAAATAGCGAAAATGCGGCGTCGTGTTTCTCCTCTTTTCATGCTCGAACCCTAGACATCATAACCTAATTTATACGAATTGCACTCTAGGTCCTTGACTTTTACAATACGTTATAAATTAATCCTTTTGTTTACAGAATTGTCAACACTAAAAACCTAACAACCTGAATTCTTTGTTTAAGATAATTGTGAGTTCTAATTAAAGTGAATGTTAAGAAGAATCCTATTTGGAATGGTGTTGCTGAATCATATTCAAGTTTACTTGATTAATTCTAATTGATGTCCTACTTGAAAGTCCATTGGGGGTAGAAATTTGTGTTTGACTTGAAGAGGATATTGAGATGAAGAAAATTAAGATGTTTGAAGTAAAAGATCCGAGAGTGGGCCCTGGGGCGCCAACATTGAGGCTCCACGATAATTTTGGCCCAGCGCTACATGGCGCCGCGATGTCTGTTTGCCTCTTGTACGATTTTTCTATCATTTTTCGTTTTGGACTCCTTTTTGACATTCTACTTCAATTACAATCCTACTATAAAGGTTTGAATGTCTCCTATTTGTTCCCTATATATAGTTTGTTCTTCTTCATTACGATTTAGATGAAGTTAGTCAAATCATAAATACTTAATCTTTGTATTCTTTCTCCACATTATAATAAAATCTCAATTCTCTGCAAAATTACTTTATTCTTGTGTTCTTGTGATAATTTACTTCATATTGCACTTAATCTCTTATTTTTTCCAACAACTTGGTATTAGATTAATCCGCTTTCATTTGCTTTTCATATCAAATATCATAGAAAAGCAGTGAATTAAAAGTAAACAAAATGTAAATCATAAATATTACACCAAGATTGATTCTTTTTAGGTAGATAGAACATAATTAATTTTTAAATAGAATCTACCAGCAACCACAACTGAATCCATTATGTTCGCCCAATGTTTCAAATTTTGCTGTTAAATTAAATACACTCATAAAACTAAATCAAATTAAATTCGGAGAAGAACACAAGACTTTAAGTCCGTAGCATCTACAATTGAAGAAATTGGGATTGCAAACATGGGATTTACAATTGTATGACAGCAGTGTTTGCTCCCTCCTTTTCTTTTACTTGTGTTGTTTCTGTTGGAACTTCCCCCCTCGCAAGGGAGAATTGTTTACTTTGCTTTTTTTGTCTTAGTTCCTATGTAGCTTAGTCCAACATAGTATTTTAATGGGAAAAGTAAGTCAGGTACTAAATAATGAAATGCCTGGCTAAAATACGTGCCGAGAATAATATTCTCCAAGAAAAAGAGAGGAAAGGAAAAAGGAATAGTAATTTTTTCCTTATTTCTCAAATTATTGATTATATTGTGAGTGAGTGTTCTTGCGTATAATCGTGATCTGACGTATATTTATGACTCGTGTTTTATATTAGATACTAGAGTATTTTTCACGTTCTTTATTATTGCTACTATTTCTATCTTTTGTTTTTCTAGATATTTTGCATTTGTATCTCTTATATTGTTTTTTTTTTCTAGTTGCAAATAATATATTTATTCACATGCACAATATTGGACACAATTTAGAAGTAACTTTGATAGTATTTTTAGTTTCTTCTATTTTTTTAATATTGTCTTGTATTCTACAACCACCCTGCTAAACAAACTATGTAGAAACGACGAAATGTTTGATTATATGTAGTTTCGACGTCCCACCCTCTTTTATTTTTATTGATTTTGTAACTTTTTTATTTATCTTATTTTATTCATAGCAAAACAGGATAAGCTTATTGGATTCACTCGATAGAATTCTATCAAAATAGGCTTAGAAACAGATTTTTTTTTGATTGGTGGATTCCGTCTGATGAATTTTTGGTGGAGTCCGTCTGATTAGCTAGTTGGTTAGGAAATAGCTTTTGAGATTAATAAATTAGATAGAATCCACCTAAAGAATGTTAAAAACTTTTGTAATCTCTCTATATATGTTTACATTAGTTGATGAGAAGGTTGAGGTTTGATTAGTACGGTTTATAATTTCACTCTTTCTGCATTGAGCATCCCAAATTGGAAATATGAGTTCTCCTTTTTTCTTTTTCATTTTTCTAGCTGAAATCCTTTTGTTTTTTTCAGCATGGAAGACTCAATAGAGAAATACCTTGAACATGTAAAAGAAAAGAAGACCACAACTAACAACACTGAAGTTCAACAACGTGTGAAGGTTTGAAATATTTGTCATTAATTTTGTCGAAATATCTCAACTGTTTATTAGCCCTTGCGTGCCAATTAGTTTACATTATACAATGTTGCTTTTTATTGGTAGTGGCGAATAAATTATTGAAGATAAAATTTAATTAAATAAACACATTTATCAACGGTTTAAGTTTTGAAATAAAAACGATCAATATTGAATTAAAGTAGGCAGAGGTCGAAGGATCAAGTCTCAATCATGCATATACAAAAACTGTACGCGTGTCACATTTTGATAACAATAATTGAGTTATAAATGAGAAAGCATGTTAAAGACTATTTAGATATATATAAGGTCTTCTCTTTTCTAAGAGTTTTTAGATGAAATGTTCAACATATTAGAGTAGGCTTAAAATCAAGTCTTATCACCGTCACTTGTGAAAATTGTACACAAATCAAACCCTATTGTGAGGGAACATTGTTGAGGACAAAATCTAACTAAAATAGCTTAAATTATTATATGAAGTGGTTCAACTGGATTTCACGAATGTCTTGTGATTAAGTCTGTTTGTCATCCATTTATATCTTATGCACGTGTTAGGATTAAACGAGTAGTTCAATACAAAGCTTTTTCAATGCTTTTGATAGCATTGATTATGGTAGGTTGTGAATATGATTGATGACATAAAGAGAGAATATCTCTAGTCTTGAGGCCTCAAAGTTGAAAATCCAGAATACGAACTTAGACAGAACTTTTTATTTACAAAAAATTGTTGAATGTTGCAAACTTTAATGATTAACATAACATGAAATTAATTCAAGCATATAATTCAAATCAATAACCCCTTTTTAGTATAATTTATCATAAAATATCAAAAGACAATATAACGATAGTAAAAAGCATATAACTAATCTAATTTATGATTGTTATTCAAAAGAAAAAAACAAATAATAACACAAATTTCTTTAAAAACTGAAGAAAAAATCAACTTATTTTCAGTACCACGAGTTCATACTTAAATCCAAACAAACAAAGGGAAGAAAATTAATGCCCAAAGTTGCACAAGAGATGATGATTGATAATATATAATTTAAGTTGAATGGATTTATTTCACTTATGGAATTAATTTTATCATTTTCTTACCCACATATTTCATTTAACTTTTTAATTTTATGCCAAAAGAATGAATAGTAGCATATGTATTTTTCTTATCATATGATGTCATTGTTGGAAGTAATAAAATGATAAGAAATTCTGCCCCAAATTAACAATTACTCAAAGAAATAATACTAGAATAATATTTCAAAACAAAAAACTCAACTATGTGTTTCTGAGTGAGAAGATAATTTTGTTCTTTATTCTTTTTGTCAAGTTTCTCTGTATCCAGATTTGTGAAAAAAAAAAAATTCGGCATCTCAATTAATGTCTCAGCCTTAATTATATTTTCTTTGCGAATGGACTTTTAATCTATCAATAAACACTAAAATAAAAGCATTAAAGTATTCATATCTTTGATGCATGGGCTAAACCTGGTACTAATCTATCAATCCCACGAACTCAAGCTTCAAACCACAAGATCTTAGATATTCATATTCTCCTAGGTGCTATTTCAGTATGTTTTTAGTGAAAATTCAAAAAACCATCAAATGAAGCTTTAGACCATCCAACCTCCACATGCAATCTTCTTTGATAAATTCCAAAACTACTTTCATCCTCGTTTAATTTATATCTAGCTAAGTCTCTGTTTGACAACCAATTTATAAATGGTTTGTAAATTTAGTGAAAGTAAAACATTAATTTTAATTACATATTTATAACTGCTGCTCATTTATTATTTATACATTTTGTGGGATCCATTACCATTTCTCATGATTTATAAATTTGCTAAATAGAGGCTAAGTGGTATTGCAACAACGGGGACACAATCAGATCAATTAATATTCGGAAGAGTTTGATGCAATTAATTAGATAAAACGGTTCTTAATTCTTACCAAATATAGCTAAGGAAACAAAGTTAAAATTATAGAATTAAAAAAAAAGAGTAATGCTATTTGTCGCTCACTATCGTAGTTGCCCTATATAGCATACATGTGACGATTAGTGATTTGATGCATTAATGTAATAATTTTTAATTACCTCATACATCAAATCATTAACCACAGTTCAAACAAAGATTACGAAAAAAGTGAGAATAACGATTAAAATATAGAACAGTTCATCTAACAAAGACATTTCTTTCCACATGGGTAAATTAGTTGCAACTATCTTTTGAGAATAACAATTTAAATTAAAATTTAGAATGTAAGAAGACTTATCGAACGATTGAGACTCGTGATAACATGATTTTTAAAGTGAAATTGCCCGTTGTTAATTACTACAACCTCTTTGGACAATCACTCTAGAATACAATGATCGAACGACTTGTTGAGTATAACAAGTGATTTTCAGAACTCTCAAGTTTTACTTCAAAATAATATCTTAATAAATAAAATAATACTAGAATTGGGGTTGTGAAAATTACAAAAGATAAATATAATTTATTTTTATTTTTTAAAAAAATTTTCAAGAAAACAAGGTGCATATATAGCCCAAAAAAAAAAAAAAATTCTCTATTTTTATGAGCACATCCTCAATTTTGCCATGTGGCTTTGAAAGTATTGTATCAGCTAGTTGTAGCGCTATTGATGTTGATTTGACTTCACCAAATCTCAATTTCCTGTAAACAGAATATAACATTAGATTTATACTAGCACCTGTGTCACACAATGCATTAATAGCACAAGAATTTTCAATTAAAATAGATAAAGTAAAACTCTCTGGATCTTTCAACTTGGGAGGCAATTTGTTTTGTACCATTACACTACTTTTCTCCGTTAATGCCACAATTTCAAACTCCGGAAACTTTCTTTCCATTGTCAACATCTCTTTCAAAAATTTTGTATAGCCTGAAATTTGTAATATCGCATTAATTAACGGAATATTGATTTGGAGCTTCTTGAGACCATCAAATTTTTTTTCAAATTTTGTATCTTGATTTTTCTTCTTAAGCCTTTGAGAAAAATGAATGGGAGACACATAAGTCTGACTGGACTTGGTGCCTTGGCAGTGGATGTTTCTGTACTTTCTCCATTCTCAATTGAGGCGGGTGCAGATTTTTCCTCCATTATAGCTTCGTTAATATCATCATGAATATTTTCCTCCATTGATTTCTTTCGAAATCTTTGAGAGAATGGAAATGGAGGTACATATGCTTTAACTTTTACGGAACCCTGGGTGTATCGTTTTTCACTACTCTTATTGCCATCACTTGCTCTTTAAGATTTGTCATTGTATTGCTTGGCAATAATCCTTGTGGACGTTTTGCAAGTTGTTGAGCCATCTGACCAATCTGTGTCTCCAACTTCTTGATAGATGCTTACTGATTTTGAAAATTAGTATCGATCTGTTGGAATACTTTGTATGTTTTTTGTACATATTGATGAAACATCTTCCCCAACCTTAGTTTGTTCTCCTGGTGGGCATTATCTGAACCATTCCCTTGTTGATTATCTGACCATCTGAAATTCGGGTATTGTCTCCATTCTGGGTTATATGTTTGCGAATATGAGTTAAAATTGCGGGAGCCATTCTGAATGAAATTGACTTGTTCTTTGGGAAAGCCATATAAATACAATTTTCTGTCAAATGGTTAGCTCCACAGTTTTCACATGATTGACCACCTACCACTTCATGTGCTCCTCTCGTTTGTGATTTCACCAATTGCTCTACCTGCTTTGTCAAAGCTAATATCTGCACGTTGATAGATGTTGTGCTGTCTAATTCATACATCCCAGATGCTCTCGGTGGTACCACTCTTTCTGATGAAAACATTGAATGTATTGTGGAAATTAATTCAAATAAATCCACGATTTGTTGTACTGATTTTCCTATGATCGATCCACCAGTAAAGAAATCCACTTGAGATTTTGATAATGGTGGAAGTTCGGTGTAGAAGTACTGCACTTGATTAACTATTGTGATTCTATGATTTGGACACTTTCGCATCAGCTCTTTGAATATGTTCCATGCCTCGTGTTAGTTCTCACCATCTTTTTGTTGAAAATTTTGAATTTCCAATCTGATTTTAGCTATTTTTGCCGGTAGGAAGAATTTGTTGCAAAATTTTCTAATCAGCTCTTCCAATGTAATAATGCTTCCATGAGGTTCGGCATCTAACCACTCCAATGCAGCATCTTTCAGTATATATGCAAATAATAGCAACTTAATAGCGTCTTAATTAACCCTCGGAGCATGGAAGTTTTGACAATTTCTAAGAAATCTGGAGATATGTGTGTTCGAATTTTCATGAGGTAGCCCGTAAAATTGGAGAGTGTTGCTCATCAAATTGATCCACTATGCCTTTATCTGAAAAATTCTTACCCCGAAATCTGGATACACAATACTGAAATGCGTATGTGCGGCTAGGGCGTCAAGAACGTTGAAACTGACAAGCCTCATTCGTTTATTTTTTCTCGCTCCTGCTGCTAATCCAGTAGCACCGCTACTCTTGCGGGCACTTGTCCAATTTGCTGAATATGAATAGAAATATTTTGATCGTCAGCCATTTGATGTAGCTGTTTTTGTTTGTGTTTCTTGCGTTTTCGTCTGAAAGTACGTTCTATTTTCGAGTTAAACGGTTCAAAATTGTAGCCTTGGATACGGAGCATTCAACGACCACTTTTTTTAAATATCAAATAATAGTTAAAAAATAAAATAAACTAAGACTAAAAGTAAATAGTCCCCGGCAATGACGTTAAAAACTTGTTACTTTTTTATACCGCAAGTGTACGATATCGTAACAAGTAGTATAGTGTTCATTTGAGTCCAGATATCATTCCCACGAGAATTATACTTTAGGACTTAATCTAATTTTTCTAACTCCTATTTGACAAAAGCAAGTAAATAATTATGATAATTGTGATTCTTTTTTCTAACTACTTTTAACTAATTGAAAATATAAAAAGATTGCACACAATGGATGATTGAAAATTCAAATATGTGATGAATATTAGGGCATAACAATTTCATCTATTGATCACCTTAATTCTTAATTCAAGATTCGTAATTTAATGTAGTGTTCGATCGAATTCTTCTATTGTATTCAACTTACCCATCTCGAGTTCTCATTGCGCCTATTTAACTAATTAAATTTCATATCTATATGTGAATCAACTTTAGTTAAACGAAACACTAGTTCTAAGAATTCATATTATGACCGCAATATTTAGTATATGTATCTCTACACATTATACTAATTTACCGGATTTTATTATATAATCTAAACCTCAAACTCACATCTCGATTCGTAAGAGACTTACATATTTTTATTATATAGTCTTATTTTCAAACTCACATCTCGATTTGTTAGAGACTCACATAATCATCAAATTATTGATCATGCTTTAAACTCATAATAAAATCATCACATAAATAAATAACAGAAATCTTGAATAGAAAAACAAAAAATCACAAGGCGACTACATTGTTTTCCCTAATATAAAAATTAGTTATTCATACTGTAAAAAAAAAAACACGCAAAAGTAGAAAGATATAACTAAAAATTGACGAAATATGAAATTTCTGATATCTGCAGTCTCATTTCCTTTTCCTCTTTTTTTTCTTCTTCTTTTCTTTCTCTGATTCTGCGCCATTTTCTTCATTAAACATAAAGTTTTATCTTCAAAACACAATATAACATAAATTAGGTGAAATTTTATCGAAAAGATAATAAAATATTATGATCTAAGGTTTCGAATAAATGTAGAAACTAAACTTATCAAATGACATAAGGAGGATATCCCAAAAATACACAAGGCCTTGCTCTGTGTTGAAACTTGTTTCTATGAGCTGTGAGTGTGAAAGTAAATGCTAGGCACCCAAAAACTCGAAAGAATAATTACCAGGACTACCATGAAGTATTTCATAAGGCATTTTGTGTTGCAAAAGAGGGAATGGAGTTCTGTTGATGAGGTAGGCTGCTGTCATTACACATTCAGACCAAAATTTAATAGGCAATCTGGATTGAAAAAATAGAGCTCGAGCCACATTCTAAAGGTGTTGATGTTTGTGTTCAACTACAAAATTTTGTTGCGGCCTTGCAACACAACGAAGCTGATGTATTACCCCTTTTCAGCAAAAAATACTTTGAAGGATAATTCATTGGCATTATCTGATCTAAGCTTCTTAATAATAGCATTATATTGTGCAGCCACCATAGCAAAAATCGCTGGACGACATTTATAGCATCAGATTTATGTTTTAACAGGTAGAGCCAGGTGAATCTTGAACAATCATCAACCAAAGTCAGAAAATATTTATAGCCTGAATGAGATGGAACATGATAGGTCCCCATATATCACAATGCACCAGATCAAATGTTTTGCTCGACAAATTATTATTTGATCCAAAAGATAATCTTCTTTACTTAGCAAGAGGACAGATATAACAAGGAAGTTTGAATTTAATTTGACAAAATCACATAGCAATTGATCCTTCAATACATTTAATCTCTTAAAAGATAGATGACCAAGTCTATTATGCCATCTATGAGCAGATAGAGTACCAACAAAGGCTTTACAATCAGAATCAATGTTTTTAGTATCAAGTATGTATAGATCCTGAACTTTATCACCCCTGTCAATCATTTTCCTGGTTGCACCCTCCTAAATAATGAACTGATCATGAAAGAAGCTAAGGTAAGTTGAGATCCATTAGTTATTACACTGATGGATAACAAATTGAACTTGAATTGAGGCACAAATAGAACATCATACAGCATCAATTTTGACCTAAGTCTGAAATTTCCACAAAGATTGACTGGTATACGTGTGTGGTTAGGTAGAGTGATGCTTGAATTATCAACAGTTCTCAAGCTCACAAAGGCATCAGCAATGCAACATACACGTTTGGTAGCCCCTGAGTCTACTATCAATAGATCTTTGGATGTAAAAGTATGATTTATTGATATAGAATGGCATATACCTGAAGAGGCATTGATCCCCTAATCATTTGAAGTGCAACTTGCATTTGAAGCCAAGTGAGTAGATAGCATTGACATAAGCTGTTGATATTGATTGGAGTTCAAATTCTGCACAAAATTTCCAATGCCAAGCTGCTGATCCATTTGTTTACCATCATCTTGTTGAGGAACAGAGGCAGAAAATTGATTAGCAGAGTTAGAAGTAGAAGACTTGTGGAAATTTTCTCTTGGCCTTGGCTTATAACCGGGTGGATAACCATGACTTTTGTAACTTTTATCCACCGAATGTTCATGGTACTTGCAATGAGTACAGTATGGCCGTTCCTTCTTTTTGAAATTGGAAGTGTTGACTCTTGAAATGTTATTGCGAAGACTGGAGTGAATAGCATTTTTGGAACTATCGGTTCCAAAGGCAAAAACAATGGCTCCAGTTGAATCAATGGATTGTGCATTTATTTTCCTCTGATTTTCCTCTTAAGAAATCAATGCAAAAACTTTGTTAATAGGGGTGAAAGGATCCATTAGTAATATCTGACCCCTAGCTTGAGAAAACGAGTCATTCAGCCCCATAAGACATGACATAATGTATTCCATCTGATAATGGTTATTCAGGTCCTTAACACCTTCGAAGGTACACTTGCCACAGCTACAATTGGATCGAAAATTACTCAATTCTTCCCATATGGTTTTGAGTTTAGGGAAATACACATCGACAGTGTATTGATCTTGGATGAGGTTCATCAGCTCTTTCCTTAAATGGAAGATTCGCGGTCCATTAGTCTGATGGTACCTCTCCTTAAGGTCATTCCAAATTTCATATGTTGTATTTGCATAGATCACGTTGGCTGAGATGTCCTTCGAGACTAAATTGAGAATCCAAGATATCACCATATTGTTATTCCTAATCCATGAATTAACCAAGTCAGAATCTGCAGCTTCTGGTTTCTCAATAGATCCATCAATGAAGGACAGCTTGTTCTTAACTGATAATGCAATTGTCATCGCACGACTCCAAGAGGCATATATATCTCCTATGAGGTGCTGAGAAACAAGCACCAAACCTGGACTGTCTAAATGATGCAAAAAAAGGGGCTAGAAGGTTCATCAATGGCGGATGTGCTCATGGATGACCTCAAACCAGAATTGGTTTCTGGATGTGATGATTCCATGGTGAATAAGAATCGAAAGTAGAAGAAGTTTGTAAAAAAAAAAAAAAGTTGGAATCAATGAAGTGATGGACAAAGTTATCAATATTGCTCTGATACCATAACAGAATTGAAAAGGGGAATCACCCTGGTTGTTTTAGACTTTTAGTCCACCAGAAAAATTCAATTACAAGTGGATCAGCAATACACGTATAAATAGGCAAAAAAATGGTAGAAGAAGTGCCGGCTTTTCTAACTAATTACCAGCTGGAGGAAGTAAACTAACAAACCAACCAACCAACTACCTAAAACTATATACATGCAAAAATGATTTAAAGAAGGCTCTAATAAGAGTGAAAAAATTTGACTTGATGAAGGGGTTTTATCTTATGAAACGGGATTCTTCCTTTGAAACAATATAAGTTTGATTAGAGAGATTTCGTGGACTCTGTGAGCGTGTTAAAAGTAAATTAGCAAACGATTTTTTGGGTGTTGGATTGAGAGACGTGATAGAATTAGAAGAGAAAGTATTGGAAATTTGGATTGGTGAATCACTTCTCTGTCTCTTGTCCATATAGGCAATTTTTCTGAATCAGGCAAAATTTGTATTTTCTCGACTTTATTTTAATTTTTTGTTGTTTTCACCAAAATTTTATATATTGGTTCCTTTGGTTCCGTTGCAGCATTTGAAGCATGAAAACGCATTCATAGCAAAGAAGATAGAGCTCCTTGAAAGCTCCAAACGGTCTTGTCTTGTGATTTTTTTATCTCGTTTTATTTTTCTGAAAAATTTCCTTGAATGCTTGAATTTTTGCTAATAAATGTATTTGGTTTCAGGAAACTTTTAGGGCAAGGCTTGGAAACATGTTCAGCTGAAGAACTGCAAGATATTGACAAGCAGCTAGAAAAAAGCCTAAAAAACATTCGAGCAAGAAAGGTATTATGATTAGACTCGCTCTATAACTGAAATTTGACTCGTATCAATAATAATAAATAAGAACAACATTGTTGTTTTTTGAATTTCAGGCTGAATTATACAAGGAGGATATAAAAAAGTTAAAAGCAAAGGTATCATCATGCATGATCTCTAATAAATGGCATTCCTTGATTTTTGTAATGTATGTATATACATGTATTTTGTAACATTTTTTGTGAATACGTTCAGGAAAAGTTTCTTTTTGAAGAAAATACAAGATTGCGCGAACAGGTAAATTAATCTTGCAGTTACATGAAGTTACTTGGAAAATTTTACATCGTAACTTCGGCAGCTTTTTAAAACTTTATTCTAAACTTAGATTTGATTTTAAAACAGTGTGTTTTTCATTATGGGTTTCAGGATTATCTAAAATGAATTTTGATCTGTCCAAAAATCAGTTTATTAAGTTTTATGGTATATTTTTCCTGCCTATGAAAAAATTGTTGGCTTGTTTAGTAGACCAAATTAAGGAAAACCGAAGTTAAAATTTAGTCTATTGTATGTCTAGTACGTGTTCCTTGTATTCTTGCTACTATAATTTCTCAAAGTATCTGAAATTGTAGCTAAAAGTTCTTTCGTCTGAGAATGATAAACTTGTATTTTTTGAATGTTTTTCTTATTTTTTTGTTTTGGTGCCTTATCTTCCAGTTTGAAATCTTTTTATTTTCTATTTAATAGACTGGCAGGGTTCATGCCAAGCACCTGAAGTGTGCAATTTTTTCCAACTAAAAGTTCCTTTATCACTTTATCTTATAACTTGGTGATTGCATGATATTTCTTCTTTTCATTTACACTTAATCATCACAAAATGCTTTTATGTCAAGGAGAAAGGTGCATGGAGAATATTTAGCACGTCATTCACCAGTGGAAGATGTGCTCGCCATTATTCACTTAATTTTCCATAATTTATCTCCATTGGAAAATGTGTCCAATTAAATTTTTATAATTTATTTTCACTATTTCTCTCTTTACACGTGTTCTACTATTAGTGCGATTCACATCCCATTGGAGTTGCTCCTCTTTCCACTCTCATTTTGCTTCACACAAACACGTGCATCAATTCACATTGTTGCATTTGGATGCTACATTATCCACTTTAAAACTTCTTGCAGAAGGCATTAACTTTCTTTTACTTTAAATTTTGTGTTTTGTTCATTTTTCATAGAACTAATTCAAAATATGATGCATGCAGTGTGGACCAAAGCCAAATCAGATACCGGAAAAACAAAAAGAAATTGCTAATTGCAGCCACAATACAATGAGCTTAGAGGTGGCGACTGATCTGTTTATTGGCCAACCTCCAATCCAGAATTGCTATTTTCACTCTTAATTTATCAACTTACCAATAAATTCAAATTTCAATTGATCAGTTCCAATAAATATGTTGAAATAATGATTATTTTTATTTAATAAATCAGTTGAAGTTTGAGTAAATGTATGTCTTCTATATTTGTAATGTATATGTACAAGTTTCAGATTTTAAGTACAACATGGTGGTGGCAATGGGTAGAGAACAATAAAGAAAACATCAAGAGCCACAAGAACACAATGATTTTTCGACCAAATGTCCTAGAGGTTCAGCGACCACTTCTAACACCTAATCTCCCGTTGAGCATCCGTTAGGATTAAGCTTGAATCCACCATAAAGCTCCAAAAATAGACAAAGGTTCGATTACGAACACTAGGGTTCTCAAACCCTAATTCTTCAATCTCTCTCTTTAATTAACCAATAATGACAATCCTACTTAACTATACTAACAAGTATATTTAGGTTCAAATGGCGACAACAAGTCATTTGATAAGTGGATAGATTCAACACTTGTTTTTTCTTTTAAAACCCTATCACAGGTTACAAATGCTGAATGTCATGAATATAAATGTTGAGTTTCTATAACTATTAATAAAGTTTAGGTCGGTGGATCAAATATCTCTAAAAGAGATAAAGATACTGTAAGAACTTTACCTATGTAAATTTTGAGGTGGTGCCACTTCAATAGAGAGTTGGAGTTTCTCTCTCAAAAGTTTGTGAATAGGAGAAGCGTAAAGCCATAAAAGCACTAAATGAGATTGTGTGAAACTTGGAACATTTTATACTTGTGTGCATGATTTCACCGGTATCTTCACAAGGAATAATAAGTACAAAACTTTCATGCTGCGTATGATTAGGTTGTGTCATTTATAGTAATGTTGGATTTAAATCAAAAGGTACCCACATTTTATGCATAAGTGTCGTTAGACTTGAGTTTGTACTCATTTTATATTTGAACAGGTGTGAGATTGTTGGATATTTTTCAAATTAATAATGAGAAGTGATTTTGGAAGTGATTAAAATGGTTAATCATGAGAAAAATAAAAAAAAATAAAACGAGAACAAAAAATAGTGATGGCCGAAATCGATTGGCCGCCCTGCCTTATGTTGAACTGGACAGACGCCAAATTTTGTACTGGGCGGGGCGACCGCCCAATACAAAATATTTGCCAGTTGGAATTTTGAAATCTAGTATCGTTTTGAAGGGTTTTACACCCTTTTGACTTGGTTTTTGCACTTTTTCGTGCATGATGATTGTAATTCTATATATATGAGTGGTTTTCATGATTGAAAACATATAACAAACATCAAATTCATTCATCAAAATCCAAAATCAAAGATCAAACACAGTTTTTTAAATTTTTTTAGAATTTCTTTTTCCAAGTTTTTATTGCTTGACTCATACTTGGATTAAGGTTTGTTTACTCCTACAAACTATTTGCCATTGAGGCCTTCAAGCACTTTCTCTGGTGGCGGCAAATATCGTTTGAAGACAGCAATTCATAATCGCGTTCAAACCTTCTATTTAGAGATTTTTTCTTGCGGTTTTATTTTCTTTCTTCATCAACTTTGTTCAACAATCTCAAAAAATATTAAACATGGAGAACAAGACAACCATGGCTACGATGAAAATGATGAATCAAGACCTTGTAAGGCTTGATAGATTCGACGAGTCAAACTTTACAAGATGTAAAGATAAGTTGAAATTTATTCTTACAACCTTGAAAATCTTTTATATTTTGGATCCAGACTTGGCGCCTTTATAGGAACCTCAACCGAAACCAACCCCAAATGACATCGAGGCGGAAAGGAAGAAGAGAGAGGAAGATGAATCGATATGTAGACGACACATTCTGAACGCTCTCTCCGATCGCCTCTAAGATCTCTACACATAACACCTCGACAAAGGAAATATGAGAATCATTGGAAATCAAATACAAGATCGAGGAGAAAGGACCAAAAAGTTTCTTATTTCTAAGTATTTTGATTTTAAGTTTTTAGATAACTTGTCTTTGTTAGGACAAGTCCATGAGTTGCAAATCAATGTCAATAAAATGAAGGTCGTGAAAATAGATCTTCCTGAAACTTTCCAAGTTGGTACAATCATTGCTAAATTTCCATCTTTGTGGAAATGTTATCGGAAGAAAATCCTTTACAGTCCCAAGATTATTCTTTGGAAGAAATTCAAAAAGACTTCGAACTGAAGAAGAGTCAACGGCAAGAGAAGATAATGAACATTCTCATGAGTGCACTTCCAAAGCTCACGCCGTGGTTCAACCAAACAAATACAACAAGAATTCCAAGAAGAGACTTCAAATCCCAACAAAGATAACAAGAACAAGAAAAAATATTAAATTTCTTGTTATGTATGTGTAAACTCGAAAATTATTCTTGGATTGTAGATATCGCAAACAACTAATGCAAGAATGCAAAGCGAACTCCATTGGCAACATTATTGCTACCGTGACCATTGCAAATTCGGTAAAAGGAAGATTCAACGATGGTGGTATGATACTTGTGCCACCATACATGTGTGCTATGATAGATCCTTTTTCAAAATCTATCAAGAAGTGGATGACAAACATATTCAAATGGGGAATGAAGTTCAATCAGAGGTTGTTGGCAAAGGAAACATTGACTTACATTTTACATCTGGTAAGAAAATCACATTATTAAATGTATTGCATGTACCGGATATGAATAAAATCTTGTAAGTGGTGATTTGTTTGGAAAATTGGGAATAAAGTCTACAAATAAGTCGGGAAAACTTATACTTTTTTCGGAATTGTGTATTTGTTGGAAAATACTATTCTAATGATGGAATGGTCAAACTTTGTACTATTACAATAATATCACTAAAACTACAAATTTAAACTATGTTGTCGAGTCTATTTCTTTATTGTGTGATAGATTAGGACATGTTGACTTTTCTATTTTAAAAAGAATGATTAATATCAGAATGATTTCATGTGAAAACACAAAGCATAATAAATGTGAATTATGTGTTAAGTCTTGTTTATAGTAAGAACACGAATCCTAAAAGGACTAAGTTGAGTCCTAGAGGGATCAAATGTGCTTTTGTAGGATATGCACAAAATAGTAACGAATATCGTTTATTAAACTTGAAAATCAATGTTATTATTGAATCTTGTGAAATAAAGTTCTTTGAGAATATGTTATTTTCAGATAAGAATTCTCCATGAGAATCTCAAGTAGAGACTCCTAGCTCTACAAGATCACAAGTAGAAACACCTTTCGAGAATGTTAAAATAAGTGAACTTCGTAGAAGCAAAAGAGCTCGAAAGGAAAAAAGTGATAGGACTAAATGGATTAGACTCTCAACTTATTTCTTTCTATTTAGTTGAGGGAAATGGGAAAAGTGTCACAAAAACTACTCCGTACGTTCTTCAAGTGGAAATCGTTCCTAAAACTTATCAAGAAGCAAGTATTCTAGAGATGGTTACTTTTGAAAGGATGCTGTAAATGATGAAATTGATTCAATAATGTCTAACAACACTTGAAAATTAGTCAATTTACCACCGGGATCAAAACCTAAAGGTTGCAAAATGGGTATTTAGGAGAAAGTACAATGCGGACAGTACTTTAATACCTTTAAAGTTAGGTTAGTCGTTAAAGGATATCGACAAAAAAGAAGGGATATATTACTTTGACACATATGTACAAGTTGCACGAATAACATCAATTAGAATTATATTATATTTAGCTTCAATATATGATTTGCATATATATCAAATGGATGTTAAAACGACATTCTTAAACGGGGATGTTGATGAAGAGGTCTCTATGGAACAATCAGAATGATTTGTTCTATCAGAAAATGAGGATAAAGTATACAAACTAATAAAATCCTTATATAGATTAAAACAAGCACCAAAGAAATGAAACGAAAAGTTTGACTTGGCAATAATATCTTTTAGATTTGAACATAATAGTGTTTATAAAAGCTTATATTCAAAAGTCTGTAATAATCATGTTATGCTCATTTGTTTATACGTGGATGACATGTTAATTGTAAATAATAAAAAATAAGGTGTAAAAGAAATAAAGATGTTTATATCTTCCACATTTAAAATGAAAGATCTTGATCAAGTGGATACCATACTAGATATCAAAGTCACCAAGACTAGTGGAGGTTATATGTTAAGCCAGTCACATTATATTGAGAATGTGATTAATAAATTCAAACACTTGAACATTAAAGAGGCTAATACTCCATTTGGTCCAAGTTTGAAACTTATAAAGAATGATGGAAAAAGCTATTGCAGAACTTGATTATGCAAGTGCTATCGTGAGTCTAATGTATGCTGTGCATTTGCAATTAGTAAACTTAGTCGGTTTACTAGCAATCGAAGTAAAAAATATTGGAAGGCTATTGGGAGGATTCTTGGTTATTTGAAATAAAACCAAGGATGCGGGTCTTCAATATTCTAATTTTTCAGCAATAATAGAAGGATTTACATATATTAGTTGGATATCTAGTGTTAATGAGAATAAATCAACCTCAAGTTGGGTATTTACCATTGGAGGAGTTGCGGTCTCTTGAAAATCCAAGAGACAAACATGTATTTCTCACTCAACTATGGAATCCAAATTTGTGCATTGGTTGAAATCGAAAAAGAAGCTGAATGGCTTAGGGATTTAAGGTATGAAATTTCATTGGCAAAAAATAATAATTCTTCCATATCTATCTTGTGTGATAGTCAAGCCATTTTAGGTAGAGCATACAATGAAGTATATAATGGTAAGTCTAGACATATGAGTTTAAAACATGACTATGTGAGGAAATAAATCAAAGATAAAATAATTTCGCTTACTTATGTGTAGTCAACTGAGAATTTGGCTGATTTGTTCACTAAACTGCTCACAAAGGAATTAGTGCGAATAACAACTAGTAGGATGGGGGTTAAAACTCCTTTATTAAATCCACCAATGACGGCAATTCTACCTGACTATACTAACAAGTATATTTCGGGTTTAAAGAGTAATAACAAGTCATTCGA